GTAATGTAAATATCTTTTTGTTTTCTGATGGTCTTAGGTGACCCCTGTGAAAGGGTCGTTCGACCCCCAAAGGGGTCGCAACCCACAGGTTGAGAACCGCTGTTATAAGGGTCTATTCAGTCAGATTCAAATCAGGGAAAAAAAAGCTTAGTAGGGTTTCGTAAAATATTTCTATGTCTGACTAAAAAGCCGCAACACATATATCAATGAAAAAAGTATACCTGAAAAAAAAGGTTTATCTCTATTTAGGAAGAATGCAAAAGTCATTGTTTACAAAATAAATTATCCTTTTATTTCAGAAAGCCATTTAAATAAGGAATACCGATTAGCTCCTGGAACATTCACCTTCATGAGAGCTTCAAGTTAGAAAACAGACTCCTTAATCTTGAAAATAAAAACTAACACTTTATAGGGGAGAAATTTAAAACTAAGTTAAACTGTTCACTATGACTCCCAATTATTTAGATTAAAAATTTCTAAAAATTGTAAACTTTGATCCAAAGCTGCTTTTCTGGTATGTATAGCTCAAGGATATACTAATAATTTCATTTAACAGATAAAGAAAGCATTTTCTTGTCATAAAAAAACACTAAGAAAAAGTGGGGAAATAGGCTCAAAGGAGATCTTGGGTTGGTAGTCTATGCTTCCTTGTAGACAGTTCATAATAATAGCAGTCCCTAGTATTTATATAGTTCTGTATGCTTTTCAAAGTAATCTCACACACTTGATATTCTATTTAATTAATGTTCACAATGGCCAAAAGGTAGAAGAAAGTTAATATACCTGCTGAGATTTATTGAACCGATGAATCTCATCAATAAAAAGTATGGTTTTCCTTTTGAAAAAGCTCTTTTCATTTTGAGCTTGTTTTATGACATCTCGCACATCATTTGTCTTGGCATTTGTTGCAGACAATGTCACAAATCTTATGCTATGCTTCTTGCTGTTGTTGGCTATGATGTGAGCCAGGGTGGTCTAAAAAAGATAACACAGAGTTTGGAAAGCTGATCAGACAGAGAGAGAAAAACACCCATGGGTACTAACACAAGCAGCACAAGCACAATTTACCAAGCAACTTAAACTCTGAAGAATGCTTACCAGCACAGATAGAATCTGAAATACCACAGTACATTTTCAAAAATTAAAAGAAGTTATAAATAAAACAGGAAAGTAGCTAAACCTTAGGCCAATCCTGACCTTTTCTCCTTTGTACCTAGCCCTGTTTGATTCCGTTTTTGGAGACTCTAATATCTTTGGAATCCTAGTAAAGAACAGCTGTTTTGATTTAGCAGAGCTTGGGTGACAGCTGTGATCTCTTCCAACCAAGAAAGCATTACTGCTGAAGGACTGGGTGTAGAACTGAAGTGCAGAACCACAGACTCCATCATTCCACAACTGGAAGCTCATCAGTGCAACTTAGAAGAGTGAGCCTTTGAACTGAAAGACCAATGACAACCACCTAGCATTTAAGATGACTGCACGCCACTTCTGAATGTCTACTTTGGAAGTAGGTGAAATGCCAGCACTTAATCATGTCAGTACTTAATAGGAAACAATGGAGATCCAGGAAAAGCACTGCTCAGTGCCTGGCACTTAATGATGCTTTACAAATTTGCATATGCTCTTATTAACACCATTATTATTGTTAGTAGTAAGGACAGGAATAAAGAAAAAGGAAAGACTGTTTAACGAGAGGGTCAAATTTGCTCCTGAATGAATGGAAAGGTGGCAAGTTATTTTCTAACAGTTGTATAGCACCATTAGATACTGTGGCTGCTTCTTTAGCAAATCCCAGCCTACTGGCTCCCATGCCACATATACTTAGGCTTGTGACTATCACCAACCGCTACATTGAGCAGCCTAGCCCACTAAATCTTTTGCCCAGCATCTTCTATGAGTTCACTCTACTGGTCTCCTTGGGAACTTTTCCTTGCCAGTGGGACTATCAACAGTTGACCAGCCATTCTCATGAGCTTATACAGAGTTCAAAGACAATTAATAAGAAGGCAACTGCTTACTCCCCTAAACGGGGTAACAACTCAGTCCATCGCCATGGTAAAATGTTATTTGAGTTAGATCTGATTCATACCTCGCCAAAGAGAAAGTATGAATACAAACAAGAAGGCACAAAATGAACAAGATGCGTTCCAGGAACTGGAATGATTAAGTTGTGGGCAATGAAGCTGGTAAAGAAAAACCATGAAACATGCCTTTGTGTACTGAGTAGGAACATGAAAGCTATGACAGCTCCTTTACACTCTGATCCCAAATGTTGCCTTTCATTAGCTGTGCTCATTCTTCTCCCTCTTCCTATGGATTAAAACAACATATATTTAACCTTCTCAGCATACTTTTTTTTTTCCAGTCTTAACCCTCCAGTGTTTTTCAAGTGTTCTTCCAATAACAGTTTTCTAGACCCCAATATCCTAGCTGGCCTCCTCTGGATTTTTGGTAATTCCTAACAAGGTACGTAGAACTGGACACCAAAATGCATCGATGTCTCTTCTCTAAAGTACACGGCATTACGAGGACAGTTACGGAAGTGCTTGGTGAAAATGACTTGCAGGAGAAAAGAGTTTTCATATTGGTCTTGATAAAAAAACATAGTCTCAAGGATAAATAAAGTCAGTTTGTTAAACCAACAGCTATGAGGGGAAGTAAGCCCAATAGAAATTAAAACGAATTTTTTTATTATCTTTTTCAAAACTGAATCCATATACCTACAAATGTAATCTACAAATACTCCTCTCCAATTTGCAGCATGCTGTTTCCTTGACAACTGGGTCAATTAATGTGGCACTGGAACAGAAAGGTAGATCATATCTAAGAGTCCGCATGTTCTTGTAAACCTATGAATTCAAACATTCTCATTTTGAAAACGAGCACAAAACGTGTCTTATGACTCTGGGTGGGTGTGCCTTTTTCACATCCGGCACAACTCCACCTGTGGACCAGGCATTGCCCCAGCTCTGATGGTAGCTGAGGCCCTGCACTCTTGGGCCTCAATATCCAGACTCGCGGGATTCTTCGGGTAAGGCCTCTGACACGGCTCTGTCAGATCCACGCCCTGACCCATAGAGATCACTACTCGGAGTCTTTCTGCCAAGACTGCACTCACCTTGCCGCAGCCCGGCGGCCCCCACAGGATGAGCGAGGGGATTTCGCTCGTCTCCAGGAGGGGCCGGAGCAGGGTCTCCTGCCCCACGGCTCTGCTCTGACCGATGTAGTCCTGCAGCGTGTCGGGACGCATCTTGTCGGCCAACGGCTTGCCCTCCAGCATCTGCCGGATCTCCTCCGCTGCCAGAGCCCGGGCGTGAGGGCGGCCCCCGCCGCTGGCCCCAAAGGCCGTGGCGTCCGCATCCCAGTGGCCCGGGTCGTCCTCGCCGTCAGCATCGGCGTCCCCGTCGCCATCGCCCACCGCCTCCTCCTCCTCCTGCGCCTCCGCCTCGTCCCAGCTCCGCGGAGACGCGCTACCCGCCGCGGCGGCCGCTGCAGCTGGCCTCTTCCCGGAGCCCTTCCTCCCGGGGCTACTGGAGCGGGCCACCGGGAAGTCGGGGATCAGGCGGGCGCCGCTGGGAGTGGGCGGCGCATCGTAGCTTTCCCGGCTCTCCGTCTCGCCACCGTCGTCGCCCTCCTCGCCCTCGCCCTCGCTGCTCTCGGCCGCCGTCGGGGTGGCCGGCTGCTTCAGCGCCGAACTCTCCGAGGGCCGCCGCCTCTTAGCGATGGGCGGCGACAGCCCTTTGGCGCGTTCTCCCGCGCGGTGCGGCCCAGCCGCGGACTCCGCGGGCCCCGCGGGGTTGAGCAGCAGACAGCGGTCCAGATGCGAGTTGATGTGCGCGGCCGGCATCATCTGCTGGCACACGGGGCACTGCACCTGGTGCAGCTGCGACAGGAAGGGGTCATCTTCCGGCCCACTCACCTCCATAGTGGCCGCAGCACTCGCCGGCGCGCGGCGCGGTCGCAGCAGCCCTGGGCACGCCGAGGGCTCGCGATGCCCGCGGCTAGGCCCCACGCCGCGAGACCCTAGCTCGCGGAGGCGGCAGGACGCGAGCGGGCCGGGGGAGGGCGCCGCTCATGCCTCACGTCCGGAGATTCCCGCGTCTGCCCGCCTTCGGCGGGCCGCCAGTGGCGTCTCGCGCAGCGCGTCGGGAAGACTAGTACGTATGCGTTTTTCCGAGGCGCGCTGAGATCATATCCCGCCGCCTATCGGGAAATGTAGTCCGTGTCCGTTTGCCCTAGCGCTCCCGCGTCCACTTCCGGCCAATCCCGTAGCCACCTTTGTGAGGGGCCGAAGAGGCAAGCGGGTTGCGCGTGCGCAGGCCTGAGCGGTGGCGACAACGGCGCCGGTTTGCGTCCTCCGAGGCCCGTGACGCATGGCAGGAGACTGAAAAGCCGCGGAGATTGCGCCTGGGCGGACGGCCTTTCACACCCTGGAATTTAGTTGGTTTAGGGCAGATGGACGGGAAGAAGCCCAGGGCGTGTTGCTTGTAATTAAAGGGAAATGGAAATAAAGAACCCAAAACGCTCCAGCACATGTGAAACAATTGTTCATAGCAGTGGTCAGAGAAGTGCAAATAAAGAGAACACCTCCGCCCTACCTCACCGGTTTGTTGGTCTTTTACCTGAAGTACATACTTAAATGTTTGTCTCACTTGTGCTCTTGAATAGTTAAAAACAATTCTAAATGACGGTTAGTCAACTTAGGACGTAGCTACCTCCATAACAATAAAATGATATTAGGCAACCATTTAAAGTTACTTTATAGACAGGGACAGAAAATGCCCACCGTAAAAGAAAAAAAAAATCGTATTAAAACATGTATCATATCCCTTTGAATGACAGGAATTTAAAATCTTATGTGATTTTGTCATCTGCTTTTCTGTAAACCTTTCAAAAATTTGTCATAAACATGCATCTTTGGTATTTAGAGGAAAAGAAATGAGGGAGAATGAAGAATGAAAGAATTTTAGAAAAGAATGAGCTTTTCTAAAAGTTGACCAAAATGGGATTTTTATTTACAGAAGAACATCTTGAAATTCAACCCAAAAGCAAACACGTTTTGATTTTATGAGCATCTTCATAGGAGATGATATTACAAAAAGAGGAATGACTCACAAAGAATTAGAATTAGGTAAAGGATAATATTTAAAAAAGAGCAAAGGAAGCTTTTTTTTTTTTTTTTCCTGTTGACATTTGATGTAAAACACAAGGCCCAAACTCCTGGCAAATGTTAAGAGGAGTGATTTTTTTTTGGATGGTTTTTCTAACTAGATATATTAGGCTCAAAAAAAAGATTAATAGAAAAGCAAAAGTGAGTGGGTGAAACAATATTTATTCTTTGGCCATTACATAATTTGAATTTCTACAAAAATGGATGATAAACTTGTATAGCTTCGTACTCATTCCTCAGAGCAACCATCACAGAAACATCACAAAAACAAGTACTTTGAGAAAAAGTTTGTAGGGGAGGGAAAAATTTTTTTTCCTGTACCTGTCTTAGGTTTATTATCTGGGGCCCTGTTAATGTTTTGTTAAACTGGCAAAAGCAGTACAAAAAGATAAAACAAATTTATTAACGTGTGCAGTGCTCATACACATGGGAGGGCTTAGTGATGAATTTGAGCTTGTATAGCATTTTAACAAAAGAACAATACATTTGTGGGAAAGTGACAAGACAAAGGAAAAGGACTTGAGTTTCTAGGGTAGCAAATTGTGGGAAGGTAAATATAGGAGGAAGGTAAGGGAGGATAGAGGCTAGTTAGCAAACTTTGTTATGTAGATACTTCTGGTGCCTTCTCTGGGCTGATGAGGGTCTAGAGTTGTGAGTGGTGGTTATCTTTACAAATTTATGTCCTGCTTTTAAGCAAATGGGGAGAGAGGAGAGAACTTTTCTTGTATCTGCTGCTTTTCAATTGCCTTCAGCTCAAAATAATCCTTATGCCAAAATGACATATTTTGGTGTGGCATATTCTGCTACCCTTCAGGTTTTAGGGCTGTCCTTAAAACAGGTTTTGAAGAAAAGTACTACTAAATATGGGAATGTTATGCGCATTAATTTTAAACATTTCTAGAACTATATCGACATATGGTCACCCCAATACAAGCAAAATATATATTTTTTTCTAAAAATTTTATTGGGGAATTGGGGGAGGGGAACAGCATTGGGGAAGGAGAATAGACAAATTGCTGTCCTCTAGCTCCTCAGTCCAGCCGCAGAGTATGTCGCCTCACTGGCCCATGTTGGCACTATCATTGCACTCTTCCCGGGTGAGGCAGTCGCTTGCCGGCCTTTGGACGGCCGCTAATGGTGGCTCATGGCTGCTCACGAAAGCTCACGCCCGCAGCCGGCCAGCCCCACTGCAGCCTACGCCTTCGCCGGCGACCCATGGCAGCCCAGCTCCAGGTCGAGCTGCCTGCCGTTCACCATCTCAGCTGTAAAGGGCACAGCGTCACTAGCCCCCATGTGGGATCTGAACCAGGGCCCCGCTGCTCAGTGCGGGCGCCCCAAGCCAACTCCCAACCAACGTGTCACTTGGCCAGCCCCAAGCAAAATATTTAAAAATAATGACAACATACCAGACAACGACTATGAAATTTCTTGAATGTCTTTTAATAAATGTGAGGCTTAAATTTTTTTTTTTTAGAAATGATACATGCTTATTATGGAAAATCTACTCAGAGACCATCATTGTTAATATTGTAGCAACTTCTTCCAGTCTTTTTAAAATGCATTTCAAGATTATACTGTGTATTTACATATAAATGTAATTCTATTATTTGTCTTTATTATTACCTAATATGTATTTTCAAAAGTATATATTGTAATGGGAAAATATCCATTATGTAATATAGAGTAAAAATTACAAGATACAAAATTTATGCAGTATAATGCTATTTTCTTTTTATACATATTCTTTGCTCATATATATGTTATATATAAGAAAAAGGAAAAAAATATAAAGAAAAGACTAAATTCTCCATATATATATATATATATTACATCCATGGTCACATACGAGTATGAATAAAATTGAGCTATTTGGATATATACTATGAGTTGAAAATGGCACTAGACTTGTACTTCAAGAATCTGGGTGTGAGTTGGCCATGGTGTAAACTTGGGCAAGGTACTTAACTTCCCAGCCTCAGTTTCCAAATCTAAAAGAACGATAAAGCCTACTTCACAGTCTGTTGTGAGACATAAATTATCTTATACATGTAAAAGTGTTTAGTATAGTGTCTGCTACATGGTAGACTCTCTCTTATTCTTGTTTTCCTGAATCCTAGCTCATTTTGTCTGAAGGTCAAAATTTTCTCCACTAGATGGTGATGGTAGAAAAAGAAAATGAATAAATCACACCAGGTTTTCTAACCAAATTTAAACTTTCTATTAAAATCAGCATAAATATAAACAAATTTAAACTCTTTTATAAGGTCACAGGAAATGAGATCAGTGTAACGCAATAAAACCTAGGTTTAAATTTTCTCCTTTAGTACTTAACTGCTTAATTGTTTTCAACTGGCCTTGGCAGTTTACTTTAAGTGGTGTAACCATCCTCTCTGTTCTTCTTCCTCAGACTCAGAATAGGGATGATGTATTTTGTGGGTGGCTCAAATAAGCCCTCTGTTCAGTGACCACAAGTACAGTCTCAGTCTGGCTTCAGTGCTTAAGTGAAGGTATATAATAAGCCTACTAGCATTATCGAACTTCCAGGCATCATCTTGGCCCTCATATTCATCCCCAAGGTATGTTGGACATTTTGAGTCCAGTTAATCCCATCATGACACACATTCCTGACATCTTTAGTCACAGTCCTAAAAGTTAGTCCTATGGTTGTCTGTTCTGCTTTCTGCTTTTTTTAAAAAAGATTTTATTGGGGAATCAGGGAAGGGGAACAGACAAGTTGCTGTCTTTTTGTTCTTCAGTCTAGTTGTGGAGGACGTCACTTCACTAGCCCATGTTGATATTGTGATCATTGCGCTCTGCCCGGGTGAGGCAGTCAGTTGCCGGCCATTGGATGGCCGCTCACGGTAGCTCACAAAAGCTCATGCCTGCTGCCAGCCAGCCCCACTGCAGCCTACACCATCGCCAGCGACTCACAGCAGCCCAGCTCCAGTGAGCTGTTGTTCACCATCTTAGCTGTAGAGGGCGCAGGTCACTGGCCCTCATGTGGGATCCGAACCAGCGGCCCTGCTGCTCAGAGCTCGTGCTCCCAAGCCAACTCTTAACCAACGCCGGCCCTAATTGTTCTATTTTCTTATTGACCTTATTGGTATAAAAGAAATGAATTGGTTTTTTATTAATTTATTTCATATTTTGTGTTTTGGGAAACATTTTTATTAGTTTTAGGTGATTTTCAATTGATACCTGTAGTATGGAAAGAACATATCTAAACTTTGTCCCTGGCTCCTGTCATAGAACTTCAAAAGCCCTTGGAATTTCCTGAGTGATAGCAGAACCTTTGTTATGCCAGTGAGGTCACTCCTGGTGGGTCCCTAGATAGCTTCAGGATGGGGGCTGGTCACCAGAAGACCAACCACATAATTAAAGGGTTGGAACTTAACATCAGGCCAGCCATCTCTGGGGATGTAAGAGGGGTGTTGGAGATTCAGTTTAATCACATGGCCACTGATTTAATCAATCATGCCTATATAGTGAAACTCCAATAAAAACTTTGAACACCAAACTTGGTGGAGCTTCTTGGTTGATGAATACACACTGATGGGCAGGGTAGGTAATGAGCCTTGTTTCCATAAAAGAGGGCATGGCAGTTCTGTGCCTGGGACCTTCCTAGACTTCACATTATGTGTATCGTGTATTTTAAAAAAAACTGTAATCATAACTACAGTGCTTTCAGTGAGTTTTATGATTAGTCCTAATGAATTATCCAATTTTAGGGGGTTATAGGAACCCCCAATTTGTAGCCAGTTGGTCAGGAGTGCAGCTGGTCCCTGAGACTTGAGGCTGGTGTCTGAAGTGAGGGCAGGCTTGTAGAGTACTTTGCCCTTAATCTGTGGAATCTGATACTAATCTTAGCTAGTTTGTTGTGTCAGAATTGAGTTGAGTTGCAGGACACCAAGTTTGTGTGGGAGAATTGGTGTCAGAATAATACTTTGGCCTCTGCATTTCCGATATACTTATCTATAA